TTATCACGCAAACATCTGCATATCTGAAACACGAGACACTGGACGGGGACGGTGCGGTGTCTCCGCCTGGAGAAATTCGCCAGCCATTAGGAATAGGGGTGACCTTTCCAGTGTTCGCAATATGTTCTTCTCGAGTCTCAAGCATTGACCGTATGAGTCGGGGAAGGGGATTGGGCTCTCATTCGTTCATTCGGAGAGATCCAGGGAATGAGGCCCCACAGTCGGCGGAATGCCTCGATTCGCAGAAGAGAAGTGTACCTACTTCGGGAAATATTAGCGGCGGAGCGAGGACCCATGCATCGCTCGTTGCGGGAAAAGTAGCTGCATCGTGTTGGAAGAGGCTTGTCCGGGTTCGACAGCCAGCCGCCCCTTAGTGTGGAGTTCTGGAAGGACCTTCCATGGCATTTCCCCTTGGTCCCTAGTTGTATCCTTTGTTCTCGGGCAGATGCTGAAGCAGATTCGTGAACCTATGGACGATCGAAATGCGGTACCTGAGCCCCGCACCGCATGCTTTAGGGCCCCTGAGGGGTGGAGGAGAATCGAGAGGAGAAATATCAGTCGGATTCGAGAACGAGGCTATGTTTCCGCGATAGAGCAAGATCCTTGAGCGTGCCAAGCGACGTGACTTGCAAGATCCGGATTTTTAGATCAAGCTTCCGAGCACAACGGCCATTTGTATCAATTTCCGCTCCCTGCCCGCCGTCTCGACGCGGGAGGTGTCAGACACGGCGCAGACACGCACAAGTCAGACAGACAGTCACTCAGTCACATGGTCAGGGCGGGCAAGTCGGGAACGAAAACGGTGCATCCACGTGTTGACATTGAAGACGAATGATGTTTGCTTGCTGTTGTGAGAAGCTCAACATGATCCAGACGAGCTTCCTCCCTCGTCTACAGAGTCTTCGGGGCGAATTCATTCCGCACACCCTGTCTTATAGACTCAGCGACACTCAGGGTTCTCGATCGCGAGTGAGACTTCTAGAGGGAGATCATTCCATTCATTTATCTCTCGAGAATTCATTAATCTCTTGATTTCCCGCAATGGCCGACAAACGACGGTGCCACGAACACAAACACAAGTTTAAACTCTCGAGCTCGTCGCGTCGCTGATCTCCGTGGTGAGTGACTAAGGCGGTGGTGGCAAGGAGTTTCGGGGGGAACAAATGAACAAATAAAGGTGCCAACCCCGAAAGCCATTAGAAGTCGTCCGGTGAGCGAACGACTCCCCCTCCCCGCATTCGTTCCGGACGAGCTCAGACTTGGTGCCGAGCAAGAGACAGACCGAGAATGCAAGGCCTGAAAAAAAGAGCCCCGGGGAAACTTATGCTGACTGCATCGAGCGCGGGGGTTCTGAAGTTTTCGGAACGGAACAAGCAGCATCCGTATGTTGTTGATCGATTTATCGGAATCCGATAAACCCAGCTATAACTCGCGCATATTTGTCTGAGAAAAGTTTGAATATTTTTCTCTGCTCTCCGGGACAATGATTTTGTTTCATTCCTGCGGCTTGGAGCCAAAGAGGAACGGACGACAGACTAGGACCGACCTCGAACGACGATTGGCACACTCGGAATGCAGAGGGCGAGCTTCGAGATATTCGGACATCAGAAATGGGCAAGAGTTCCGGGCGCTCATCCAAGGCCACATGCTGCGGACTTGCAGAGAATTTGAAAGGGGGATTTCTTGCTCTGTGCCGATCCGCGTGAAGCACTTCATGCATTTTTCACGCTTTAAATGTCCCAGTACCACCGCTGAAGTTCGCCGGCTCCGTATCGTGAAGTCCCACACTGTGATGGGAAACGTGGCAATCAAGTGCGAATAATGGTCTCGGGGAGGGCTCCTCGCATGCCGCCAATCACTTTTAAATCCTCTATTTGCTCTGCTTTTCTATTCTACTCTATTTTGTATACTGCCCTCGGGAGTCCGGCCCGACGAGCCGACGGATTCAGGGTCTGCCCCAGCACTCCCGGGGACCAGCTGGGCCCAGTGATTCAAATCGAGGAGTGCTCTGATCGAAAGCCACAAGCCATCACTCGCTCAGTGAGCACGTTTTTTCCTTGGAGGGTTCCTTTCAAGTTCTCCCCCACCTCCAACAGAGACTACATGAATCACTCTGAAGCCGGAGACTCGTCTTCCATCAGACGGGACACTGAGCTCGAGAAGATCATGTATTTCTTTCCGATTTGCCTCTCACAATATTCCGTCTACAACTTCCATGCCTCTATCTTTCTGTGCTCTAAGATTTGCTCGATGTTTCTTCGCATTCTTCTGGACATTGATTCTTCGACCCTATTCCGAGCTTCCCCGGAGTCGAGCCTACGAGCAGCTGCTCCTACATGCCCGAGGAGGCCCGCCCCGTGCTACTACGGTACGGAGCACACATAATTGATAAGTCCAGGCTGGCTCGAAAGCAGCTCCAGGTCCCAGGTTCGATTGACCTCCCAACCGTGCGCCTTGCTGTTTTTTTAACTCTCGAACAATTATTGGGATGTGCCCTTGTCTATCACGATTCAACCCCCCCCCCCCGTCGGGCTACGCGCTCCTAGTCGGCCTCTTGCTCGCATCGCGTTGCGGCCGTTTCCTTCACGAACGTACGAATCTTCTTGAGTTCTCTGCAGAGTCAGTTCGGATGTGTTGGAATCCCGCCTCCCTCCCGAATCACGAGCGTAGGGGTTCGTGAATGACGTCTATCTTTTATGTGATCGTTCAGGTCATGCAATCTTGACCGAAGGCTTCGTCTGACTCCGTCACTTGCGAAGTTCCGAGCGTATCAATCATATTTCCCCCATTACCCTCTTAATCACGATTCTCTGTGTGAACTCGAGGGTACAAACTTGAAAATCTTGACAGATATTGACAAATCGATTCCGGAGCAGAGATATCGTTATCGGAAGATTCAATCAGGCATTGGAGGCGTAAGACGACGGATTTCCGAGGTCTCACCCAGACAGGTCCGCGCAATCACAGACCGCCGACGCGACTCTGGCTCTGGAAATCTCAGTTTCGGCCCGATCCGGTATACAAATCAGGGCTTGTCTGAATCTTACTGTTGGACAACCTCGAACTCGAGCTGGATGAGGTGAATGCATGAGGAGCCGCACGTATACCATTCGCGCGTTTTGTCAATGCATTTGAATGCCCGATATGTACCGATTTCTTCAAGCGATTCTCCGCCCTTCTGCGAGCAGGAAGTGCTCCAGAAGGATTCCGCTGTTTTTCGACGAAATCAGCACGATTCCGATCAAGATAGTATCATGGGATCAGCGAAGACTCGACGTTCCTCAGTGCGGACTCGAGAGCGTCGATTTACTAATTCAGCGTCTCCAGACCAGGTCAAGGTATGAATCTTCCGAGTCAAGGTCTTCAGGTAGGCTCAGACCTGAGGCAGTCGTTCCCGAGTCCTGAGGGACATGATTCCTTAGAAAGGTCACGGTTCTCATCAGAGTTTCCAAACTCTTCAGGGCCGGAAGAAGCCCCGATATCAGTCCATTCCGAAAGACATTGGGTGACCAATGCGTTTGCGACGACGAGGGCGTCTGGGTTGATGAAACGCCCGAGTCCTTGTTGGCTTGGGAATGGATTCGATTCCCTATGAATATGAGCACGATGAGGCTGAATGTCGCTCTCCGGAAACTGCAGAATGGAGCGGATCATCGTTCGGGCTCTTTATTCTGAGCGGCGCCGACGAGATTCTAATGGGGCGATCTCGATTCAGACAAGGCCTCCAGGATCGAGAAGGGGTCCAGGGGGAACGTGTAACCCCGGTCCAGAATGGCGATTATTCCATGCGGAATGAGGTGGAGCCTTCGGGATACCAATCTTTCTCTCTGACTCCGAAGACTACTACTCCTCTCATCACGCTGCAAATCCTATAGACCTATGAGTATCATTGAAAGTACGTTGACAGACGTAGCTAAGGGTGATGTCGCTCATACCGATAAGTCGATTCTTTATCCAGATCGCCCATGAGCTCTGACTGTGACCGCCCCGTCGAGGCGCCGAGGGCGGCCCAGCTTACCCAAGTAGTACCTACGAGCTACCCCGAGACGAGGGCCGCACCCGGAAATTCAATCTTCACCGAGGATCACAGTCACAGATAAAGCCTTGCGCAAGTGTGGAATCCGACATGACTTCTCTCCTGACTTGTTCTGGTCTCAGCTTGAACAAGCCGCTAGCCTTGCCCCAGGCAAGGTTAGGTTTCGAGCCGAAGGACACTTGAAACAGGAGTTCTAGAATGTACATACGGAGTGAGTACACCTTGGATCCCCCGAGCCTGGCAGAGTGCGATATCAACAGGATAAAAATGAATAGAGGGAAGCGGTCGAGCGGCGGTCGGAAAACTTCGCTCTGACCCGAACCCGCACTTCGTGTCGAAGCATCACCAGCTTACCCAGGAAACTATGCGGTCGGACTGCAACTGATCTGTGAGTCTCAGCTTGGGCACGGGAAGCCTCATCGTTTGCGTCTCTGCGCGAGACGTTTGAGGAAAGAAGTAACATACCAATAACATGAAACCCCGCCGACCGCACCTGTCCTAACATGGAAGAAATTTTCGCGAAAAGTTGAGTAAGATTAGCAAGGCGCCTTGATTTGGGAGCGGAATCATCCGGAGAGGTGCCTCTCAGAGAGTCGGATCGCGACCAGGCCCTGCGGGAAACCGTGGTCCCTAGGGCCGCTTTGCGATACAGCAGCCCGACCGGCGAGGTCCAATCATCACCGCTTGCGATATACATGTACCTGATTCTTCCAATGATTGACACCCGAGAGAGTCAAGAGCAGGGCATCTCGTCTAGCGAACTTAGGGGCCATGAGTATATGATTCGAATAGCCGCCATGTGGCGTCGCACGGAGATGGCTGCCGTAATGGCCCACCGTCGTAATGGCCGCTTCCAGAGAATCAGAATGGGGAACTTGGACGGAAATTCGTCGCGGCCGCCGTGATCCGACCCAGCTCATTAGGCCCTCAGATTTTACGCATTACAGGCACGATCAAGGTAAGTTGTGTCTGGTGGGTACCCAGCGAAAAATGTGGTGCGCGGCGTAAGTCTAGCTCCGGCCACTCGTCGACTCAAAGTTGCCTCGAGTTCTGCTCCGCCATCGATTCTGCCGCAGCAACATCCGATAACTGTCTGGCTCACTTTGGTACTCTCGAGTCTCGATACGCAGTGAAGCTCCCGCTACCCTGGAATTGATGTGTCTTGGAATTTCCCTATCGATTCTGTGAGTTCTAAGCCTTGCGCACATTTGTTTCCAGTGGAAATCGTCAAGGTCGCGTCAATCATGGAGTGGTGGCAGATTGTGGCTCTCGCCGCTCTCGTGGACTTCGTTTACTTCAAACTCTCATACTCAAGACCCGGTGGACCGCCGCTGTATTACGGCCTGCCCTTCATCGGCTACGGCTTCATTCTATTCTTGCCGAAATCGTGGCTCAGAAAGGTTGTCGACAAATACCTCGAAGCGGCTCCCGATGTGGTCATCGTACGGATGCCCTTCGTTTTTGTAGTAATCAAGAACGACGTAGTGAAAGAGATTCAGCAAAACCCGGACTGCTTACCTCGGCCTCGACTCAACTACACCGATGTTGTTTCGTGGTTCGTGACGGGAACTTACGATATGTCGTTCTGCGACGGCTTGCGTACCTCAAAAACGGATCAGTGGCAGATATCCCGGAAACTTGGCATCGCATCTCTCTACGCGGGTCCCAAGAGCAAAATGGCGCAGAAAATGGGGGATACTGCAGACGCTTTCCTCAAAAAAATCGAGAAGCACGAGGGAACGGACTGGGATCCCAAGCTTCCGATGATGACGTCGAAGTACCAAGAAGTTATTAATCTGTTTTTCGGTGCCCTTTTCAAAGAGGAAGACTTGCACCAATACGTTCCAGGAGTTATCATAGGCGCGCATATGGGCTTATTTCTTGCCTTTTTCTTCAAGTTTTTCCCGATGGGCCTGTTCCTGGCACTCAACAAGCCCATCAAGTATGTCACGGGATTCGACCTCGGGTACCCTGGCGATATCTACGAGCAGTTTCTCTTGAGAATGTACAACGAAGACAAAGCGAGCCACACAGAGAGCGATTCGCGCGACTATCTGGAAGCGATCACCGCGAGCAAGAAGGACCCTTCGGAGTTAATATACTATTTGCGCGAGGTGACATTCATTTCCTTACACGCGGCAACGCATACCACATGGCACACGTTGCTATCCGCGCTGTCGATGTTCGCCATCTATCCAGAGGTGCAGCAGCGCGCAGCCGACGAGATCCAGCAGGAAATCGGTCGCGGCGAGGTGACAACGGACTCCCTCGACAAACTGTCCTACTTGAAGGCAGTAATCTCAGAAACTCTGCGGCTGTATCCCGCAGTCCCGTACCCATTGCGACTGACGAAGAGGGCGACCGTGGCGGGTGGCTTTCAATTACCGAGGAAAATCACGGTTCTGCCGCTGATAATTTCGGAAAATATGAACCCGTCGCGCTTTGTGGATCCAAAAGCATTCCGACCGGAGAGATTTCTGGACGATAAGGGCAAATTTTTCCATGATCCAAATCTGGGCACCTTCTCCAGAGGGAAGCGAGCATGTCCCGGGAGAGAGTTCAGCTACATGAGCTCATCGATATATTTGACAAAAATTCTCCAACATTTCACCGTGGCGCCTCCCAGCAAGAACGCCAAACTCAGTGAGATTGGGGCAGACTTCTTCACGAGCGCCGGACGACTAGACGAGCTTCGTTTCATGCGACGGGAAGGAGCACCTCCGATCAGGGACGTACAATTCGACACACGACTCTCCACAATTGTTAGAGAAGTCATTGCAGCGCAGGGTAAGAAGGATATTTGAGAAAAAATAAAATCCTTCGGCGATGCAAAGTTCCCTGGGAAGTCCATGTTTGATTTCCAGCGCTCGCTCAGGATCTATCATGCTTACGACGGAATGAACGCTCTGAATCGGCGATTCTCCGAAAATGAACATGTCTGAAAATCAATCGCAGGGTTGAGCTGAATCTCTTGCGTTAAGAGCACCGAAGTAAACGCTTGCTCCGTACTCGCATTAACGTTAATTCGTTCATATCGGTGATCGAACGTTTGAGTGGGATTAGAGGGTTTCTCCACCTTGTGCGACGCCGCAGTGGGGCCAAATCGGATTTCAGGTGGAGAAAAGTGTTGCATGTATTTTTCAGCTTTCTGAGGTTTTGGGAGTCTGAAATAGAGCGGAAGAAGACTGCTGAAAGCATTTCCAACACCACAGGGAGCGGGATGAGCTCACAATATGAGGAAAAAACATGATATGGTCAATCGGGGACGGAGTTCACTTTTTATTCTACGCGGATTCCTAAGACTCCGTAGAACTCATTCATCGACAGCAGAATCGCTCGAGCCAGCGGAAGCCGCATTTCTGACATCGCGAATTCAACGAGTTTCCGAACTTTTTCGTCTCGGCGAAAAAGTCTTCCCAGCAAGTCCAAAAGCGGCCGACCTGACCAGAATCATGTGGGATTGCGAAATCAGGACGGGAACTGAGCGCAGAAAATAAGTTTTCCCCAATTCGAGGGCACAAAGTATCTTCTTTCCGAACATCACCGATTGAGGGGGAAAATTAATAACTATCGTCGAAAAAAAATTCCGATTCCGTTCTCGCAGGTGCCAGGATGACTGGGGGATGCGGAAAATGCGGTAATCATGGTTCCCTCGCGACTTTCAGAGTCTCACGAACATTTGCGAACCCATCACCGATCGAAATTCCGGGACGAGTTTCCATGGACTTTTGTCCACCTCAAATTCGATTTGGCCCCACTGTGGCGACGCTACTCGGCGAGGTGACAATCCATATGTCTCGTTCAGCGAGGACTGATGGACCTCATCCAGAATCCTCCCAGCTAGACCTCGAATCATTGGGTTACCAAGCACACAGACAAGTCTGTCTCGTGATAGTGAGTTCGAACGTTAAGCATCGGTAAACAAGTGCAAGTTGCTCCCTAACGCCTGTGCTACTTCCGCCTATGGTCGATCAATCCTGTTATGTAGGTGTCTGACTCATAATAAGTACGAGGAGGAGCATGCCAAATCTTAAATGCCTACTGCCTACCGACCATCATGTTTTGAAGAATTCAGCTCGAGAATGACGATGTAACGCTGCTAGGCTCCGCTGAGCGCTCGCTCCCGAACGTACGCCTGCGGCACAGCGATACTTTCCCCTGCGAACATTCGGTGGCTCGCAGCGGGGCTTTCTATTGTTTCCACATGTTCATCTCGCAGGTAAACTTCGGAGAACAACGGCTCCAGATTTCCGGAAATATCGGCACTTTCAAGGCTCATTTCGAAAGAGAACACGACGGGACGAATGTTCGGACAAAAGTCCTCGCTGTGCGAGAACATTGATCATTGATCATATGGTTTGGAGACTTGAAGGATAGAGGCGTCAAAATATATTCCCTGATGAGTATAAATGTTTGATCAATCTCCTTAAGAGGGCTTTGTGTGAGACGGCATCCGAAGGGATTCCTGCAGAGATCACTACAGCTCGGCTGTCTTCTTGCGCCGCTCGACAAGCCATGTTGAATGTATTTTCGCGAAGGATCATAAATCATAACATTGATTAGTATTTTCGCCGACCTTCGGGATCCCCCTCGCGGGGAATGCCCAGGGGTCCTAGGGATCCTAGGGTCCTAGGCTCTCAGGGATTCCTGGTGTGATCAGGGTTCTGATGTTCTCTGCTTTGCTGAGGAAGGACAAGGGGAATCAGGTTGCGTTCTATGCCAATCAGATTTAATCCGAGGTCCGACACATCGGCTAATGATCAAGAGCGGAAGTAAGAGAAGTTCAGAATCTGAATATCTTGCGGAAATATTTTCCCTCTGTGGCCTGTGGAATCCCCGACAGCGCTGGCGAATCTACAGCATGCGCCGCAGGTGGCTCGCTGCTCAATGGCTGTGGCGTTGCCATCGGGACGCTGATCAAGGGTAGCAGGGATGGTACGGTCGATGAAAGCGCTGCTGGTGGAGGTCGAGCTTGGGACTGCTCTGCGGGAGAAAGGGGACGATCTCTGAGCATCTGAGAATCATTCGGCCACGATCGGCGCCATGACTCAACTCGAGTGCGTACAGAAGATTTCATCAGTTACTCGAGTTTACGTAATGTGAGTCGTGTCGAAATCCTCGCGGCGCGGCGACAACGCTCCTCTGCTGAGCGGAGAAATTCTTCGTATGTCTCCCGAACTCCCGGGGCGTTTTCCCACGTCGGAGTTCCATCCCACGAGCTCGTGCATGGGATTCGCGGAATAAACATTTCTTCGGGACTCGGCGCCTTGGGAAGTGTCGGCGAGAAAAAAATCTCTATCTAAGCTGAGGTCACGCAGCATCCAAAATCCTCCCTCCTGCAAACAGACGCACCAGAACTTGATCCTATAACTTAGATTGAATTCGATCGTTCTGATGTATCTAGCTTCTGATGATTTCGCCGGCGAGTACCCGTAGATGCCGCTTCTCGATCCATAACCGACCACTCATGGCGGGCGAAGAAATTATGTGTAGACGCTCCTCGATCCGACAGCTCAGTGATTGTCATTTCTTGTGGAAAACGATGACCCTCAAGGCGAAGCGGAAGGCGCCGCAGTCGGCAGAAACGGAAATGTAGGTAGATTATTGTCTCTATGGAAGAACCACTCAATTCCGATGGTAAATATCGGAGACAATGAAGAGCAGAAGTCGAGAGCTGACGACCATTTATTCTTACGATATTCTTACGATCGACGCAATCGTTCGGAATCTTCTTCCCCTCGATATTGCATTCATGACGCTCGGTGAAAGCAGTCACCGATGGTCCAGGGGTGGTGGTGTTATCGGTAAAGTATTGAAGGGCATATTTGGCAGAAAGCCGTCGAAGAAAAGTCGGAAGGCGTCCCGCAAGCGATCGAAGGATACACGTTCGAAAGAGTCGGATGATAGTTTGTCGTCTGACTCAGTTGAAAGGCTGACGAAACAGACTGAGAAATTGATCGCTGCCATCCATGACCAAGTTCTGCCTCTTCTCGAAACGGAGTCGGAGGACTCTCCCGACATCATCAGTAAGAACCGCGTCTTGTTCGCACTCAACCGCGCAGCACAGAGAGCCCTGAAACGAAGGGACGTCTTCGGAGATCTTGAACAGCTGAGAGCAGAAGAGAACGAGGCTGATAGGGTCGTGGCCGATTTCCTCGAGAAAGAGACAGGTAGAGATTCAACCAGGATTCAATCGTCTTCCATTGCTTCGAAGTGTGCCTCCTGCGGAGCGCCGTGCCAAAAATGTGTGGGTTCCGGAAACTACTTCCGAATCATCGAGATATGCGCTACTCGCTGTACTCGAGGAAGCTCAGCAGGCCGCTAGAATTCTTTAGCTAATACGATGGAACTTTCTCAACTCAGGCCCAAGACCAGGCGTCCCGAGACGGGGAACCACGCAGCTCGGTCTCATGGGGTATTTCTGAGGTCATGGACTTCGAAATGAGCAATGACGAGAACTCCGCTGCGGGCTTCTATCCTGATCCCGACTCGGACTCGGACGAAGACAGTGATAAGGATGCTCCTCGAAGTGAGTTCTTTCCACCTCTGCAGAGAGCAGCGGTCTTGCTGTGATACGAAATGACTCATTTGCATCCAATCAATCAATCAATCAATCAATCAATCACGGTGGTCGACCGCAGGACACCCGGAAACCTCGGGTTCCATGGAGGATACGAAGACTGCGACTCACAATCAGGTCAATCTCAGAAAGAACCAATGAGTGAATAATTTCGAGAATTGTGGATGATCCCCTTCCCTTGAATCGGCTGCCTTATACCTCGCTGAGGTATACGGCAGCTCATCCCGAGCTCATTCTTTTCAAGGAGTGATCCTTAGAAATTCTCTGTTCGCCAACAAACATCTTGAAAATCATCACCTGAGGTCGATTGGAGCCGTCCGCGGAGTTAGAAGAAGTATTCATTCTGAATTGTCTTATTTATTCGGCCTCGTTTGATTCATTGATGTGAGCTCGATCGCGAACGCTAAGTTCGTTCCTCTGCCGCATAAGGGTGTAAGAGAAGCGCATTCCCTTAGTGAAGCGGTCCTCGGACATCAGTCTAGTACACCCTTCATAAATGAAATTCCATAGTGTTTCGGTATCGAATCCGAATTCGCTCGCGGGAGCCGAGACGGAGATCAGGTCAGAAATTCTCAATGCTCCGTTACGCATAAGGAGGGATTTCGAAGTTTCATCTCAAACATCTGGCGAGCTCCCGGACATGCTCTCGCAGAGAAGGGCTGAGCGCTCAGGCCGGTTTCCTGTGACTGGAAAATTCGTCACAGGGATCCGTGAGTGGAACGGATATGAGTGCAAGCTCGACAATGAGTCTCACAAAAACAACTGAGTACGGTTCGGGCTGTTGGAGAATCGCGAAAATCGCGATTTTCGTCACTTTTTAGCGAATTCCGCGACTTTCGATATCCCCAGATTTTACAGCACGCGGATTGTCGCTCGCCGTCTCGCGGTGATCGTGGCCTGCTGCTGCATGCATCTGCTCCCACGCATGAGTGCCTCTCCACTGCAGAAGTAGTACAATCAATTGGGGAAGTTCGCCTTCCTCGTCCCCCTTATCCCCTCATCCATGTACTTCCTATTCCACCATTCGGCCTTCTCACAGCATGAGATGTGTCCTCAGCCACGCTCATGTTAGATGCGGCACCGAAGCCCAGTACTCCTCGGCTTCCCGTTCCTCTTTCCTCGCTTCTCGTAAGCTCTATTTTCCTCGGCTCAAAGATCTGTGGAAACTCTCGCTCCTACTTCTTCTTTGCCCTTCCTCCTTGTACTTCCCGTTTTCCTCGTCTATCCGGTCGCTCTCCCTGCCGGCCTTCCCGGTTTCCCGTTCCTTATTTCCCCTTTTCGAATGTGCCTAAGTCTCTTTCTCTCCTCTACTACTATATCTTCACCTGACCTGAGTGATCCCGCATCGATTGAGTATAGTTCGAAGTCTCTCCGAAGGAGATGAGCGCTGGAAATTAGTTCGGTGACCGATTTCGCCGCTCTATTCTATAGTAGGGTGATATATTTCATTCCCCTCGAACAAGCTCAGGGAACGTAGGTATTTGTATCATGAAAATGAGTTGAAGGCAATCGAATGAGCTCCGAAAATCTACGCGCCTCTTGAGCCGGAGTTCGGCACCTAGTTCGGAAGTACAGCTGAATCGAATGGAGTTCGGAATTGGCAACTCGTCGAAATACTGGCATCGAAGTCCGTTTACATGGGTAGCGCCTCGATACAAAGATGAAAAGCATGAGCTCATCTGAGTTCGACTGCTCAATCCGCTACAGCGCGGCGGGTCAGACACCTTCTATCGAATGCTGTGGCGGTGGCTCACTAGCGAACTCCGCTCAAGCTCGGTGCGGAGGAGCTATATGAAAATGTCGGAACCTGTTGTCTTCCTTAGGCTGCTCCCGAGAGAAGGCATTGTCCGTGCAAGCGTTGCTTATTCCTCTCTCTCTGTAATATTCGTGAAGGTTTTCTCAGGGACTGGCGTTTGATGTCGCTCGAGGGAGGAGGATCCCATCCGCCAGAAGATTGTTCTGGTTCCGCTTATGATCTCTGCCTGGCGAATTCGCTCTCTCGGATCTGCATCAATAATCCTCAAAAGATAAGCGAACCTGAAGCTGTTTGTTCTAGTCCACACGGAGATGATTTCGACTGTAGAACATGTTCCCAGGTTCCTGGAAAAAAGAATATGAGAGCCGATCGGTGGACTCGTGCCGGGCTCGAATCGAATCATGCTTGAAAACACGATTCGCAAGCAATTCTCTACCCGACGAACCGAAGATTCTTCCTCTCAATTTCAACGCCTTCGGGTTCACCACACCATCAAGGGACTGGGACCGGTTCAATCATTGCCGAATCAACGAAGCGTGAGCCGGCACTCATCGAAGACTCCTGCCTCATTGTCTTGCCGTCCTCATCCATCGGATATGCGCGCCTCATGAAGCGAGTCAGTTGGGATTCCATGGCGATAGTCTCCAACCACGGTGAATCCGATCCATTCATGAAGCGTAAGCCCCAATGGGGGGAAATTCGAGAGGATCCATCCATCCATACACCTCTAATAAAGCGCTTAGCTTGCGCAGTTTGTCCGCCTTTTTCTCACTGATCCCTCCGAAAGGAAAGCGACAGATTCCCCGATACACACTGATGGGGAGGTCACATTTGCCGCGCGTTTCCGCCTTCTAAGGAGTATTCCACAGGCTTCGAATGACGGACATACTTGACCGCGTAGCTTCGTAATGCGGTCTCGGATCGCTCATCTCTAATCTCTCATCTCTCATGCGGAGATGTGCTGCGAAAAGCCAGATATTATTCCGCCGATCAGATTTCGTTGTTCGATATCCACTCGCATTGCATATCATATCCTCATGTCGATGACTTTTACTGACAACATCCCTATCTCATTACTCATGACAATGAAGCCTGCTCATTGAAGAATTGCTGTTGTATGATATACGTCTGTAGAGCGCTCCTACGCAACGTTGAATACGAACCATCTTCTCCCGATGGACCCAGTTGCCAAACGCACGAGATCGGCAACTAAGGCTGCTACTCAGATTGCCGAACATGTTTCGGGTTCTCTGCTTCATGATGAGGGCACGTCAACTCTCCAAACTCCTGATCCTCCACGCAAATGTCCGAAGAGAAGAACCGAGGAAACCTCATACACACGGCTCACTAGAGGGGGGAAAAGTTCTGACACTGATTATGAACCTCAAGAGGAGATGACCCGTCGACGATCTTCGAGCCGGGCACTGCGGAGATCCAAAGAGACATCGGCACAGCGTTCACAACGACTAGAAGCTCAAGCTGCACGGCAGGCAAAGCTCAGATCTGCGTCTCGCGCACGAAGCGAAACCGGTCTCTCTGACGGCTTCGATGTTACTACCCTATCCGAGCGCGGACAAAGTGAAACCGGTCTCTCTGACGGCTTCGATGTTACTACTCTATCCGAGCAAACACAACACACGCCTCAGAATTCCAACTCGAGATCGAGACATACATCGGAGCTCCTTGCCTTACATTGGAGACAACCTGATCTTCACGAGCTGGGTAGTATGTCCGTTCGATGCTCCCACTGCTCCGCACTACATTTCCCCTCCGAAGTGAAATCCCAGCATCCAACACTGTTTCTGAGCTGTTGCAATTTGGGTCGTCTCGAAGCCCACAATTTCACAAGCTTCCCTGATTTCCTTCGAGAACTCTATGAACGAAAACCTTCGCAGGATTCTGCACACGGACGTCTACAGAAAAACTTCCACGATTCGATCAGGAACTACAATTCCTCGCTCGCTATGGCTTCCATGGGCGCTCAAATTGAAGTCCCAAAGGGTATCGGTCCATATTGTTTCCGTATACATGGCCAAATATATCATAATATCGGGCCTCTCCATCCAGGAGACGAGGCTCCAAGGCTTTACGGTCAGCTTTACATACTAGATACTGCGGAAGCTGCAGCTCAGAGACTCCAGCAACCTCAAAACTCCAAATGTGATCTCTCTCTAACGCAGCACTTGAGTCGGTTGATTGCTGAGACGAGTCCGTATGCGCGTTCTTTCAAATGGCTGAATTAGAACAGGCGGAGATAGTTGCGGCGGAAAGAGAGCATCGACCCAGGGCTAAGCTCACGATGGTGTTCAATGATAAGAAACCTCAAGGCCTACAAGGTCGATTGTATGATCTACCCACGACGAATGAGGTCGCCGTCATCTACGTCGGTGAAGACGGTGATGTGCCTGCGACCCGAGCTCTCGCCGTCCATGAGCGAAGTGGGACCTTGACCAACATATCTTATTTAGACCCAAGAGGCGACCCCCTAACTTATCCTCTTCTGTTTCCGAGAGGGGAGTATGGTTGGCGATCCTAACTTGGCGGACGGTCGAGGGAAGAGGATTTACTCAAAAGCAGTATTACTCCAATCTCCTGGCCATCAGGAACTGCTTCAACCCCATTCTCCACGCCGGCAAGCTGTTCCAGCAGTTCGCGGTGGACTCATTTGTAAAGATCGAGCAAAACAGATTGAATTACCATCGTCAGAATCAACAGAAATTGCGTGCCGATTCTTATTCCGCGCTGCGTGATCACCTTCGAGGGGAAGACGATATTCCCGGACCTGCAGGACGCAGAAT